TGGCCCCACGGCCCGGCTCCCGAGGGCGGCCCGCGCGACAGGAACTTTCTCTTCGTGGGAGTCATGACCGCCCAGAAATACCTGCAGACCCGCGCCGTGGCCGTTTACAGGTGAGCCCTCCTCCCACAGCCGGCATCCCTCCCACCGCTCCTGCCTTGGCCCGGTTCCCAGGACCCAGGCTCCCGGGGTGCCCCTCGGGGTGATGCCCCTCGGGGGAAGCCAGGCATTGAGCAGCAGAGATCAGAGGCAGGACGTGGAGCTCTCATCACTCAAGATGCAGGGGCTTGGGGGTCAGATGGACCACGGTGCCCCTCTGGGTGTGGTCCGCACCCTGACTGTGCAAGGCACTGTCTTTTAAAAAATTTTTAAAATATATTTTATTGATTTCAGACAGGAAGGGAGAGGGAGAGAGAGAGGAAAATCAATGATGAGAGAGAATCATGGACCGCCTGCCTCCTGCACACCCCCTATTGGGGATGGAGCCCGAAACCCGGGCATGTGCCCTGATGGGGAATCGAACCATGACCTCCTGGTTCCTAGGTCTCTGCTCAACCACTGAGCCACGCCGGCCGGCTGCGCAAGGCACTTTAGCTTTCCATGTTCCAACCTGTCTTTTGTTTGAATGGTCCCGACTGAACGGATCTCCCTCAATAAGGTTGTTAGAACAACTCTTTCTGGGACAGCGGGGGTTGCTAGCTGGTTGTCTGAAATCTGCCCCGTGGCCCTTTCAGAGCCCATGGAAATGAACCTGGTTAGACCCCCTTGGTTGGCATGCGTGTAGATTTCACTTTGGGGCGCTGCTGTTCGTGAAAGGGGATGCCCACTGAGCCCGCCAGTCTGTGCAGTCAGTGGAAAGAGCACCTTTGGGAAAAGCGGTTCCTGGCCGGCCGGGATGTGCTATTCACTAGCCCCGTCCGGTGATGTGATGCCGGCGGCTGGGGCTTTCCATGTTCCAACCTGTCTTTTGTTTGAATGGTCCCGACTGAACGGATCTCCCTCAATAAGGTTGTTAGAACAACTCTTGCGGTGACAGCGGGGGGTTGCTAGCTGGTTGTCTGAAATCTGCCCCGTGGCCCTTTCAGAGCCCATGGAAATGAACCTGGTTAGACCCCCTTGCTTGGCATGCGCATAGATTTCACTTTGCTGTTCGTGAAAGAGGATGCCCACCGAGCCCGCCAGTCTGTGCAGTCAGTGGAAAGAGCACCTTTGGGAAAAGCGGTTCCTGGCCGGCCGGGATGTGCTATTCACTAGCCCCGTCCGGTGATGTGATGCCGGCGGCTGGGCCCTAGTTGGCCAGATGAGTCATAAAAGTGGCCGGAATCATGTTCAGGGATTAGCGACGGGATTAGGCAAAGTCGTCTTTAGCAGGGAGATGGTTTGGGAATGGCAGATGGGTGCTGGGGTGAATTTGAGGTAGACAAGGGGCGTGGGTTCGTACGGAAACCTTACTGTGTGAAGTACAGAAATGCTGAGGTGCAAACCCAGCTGGGAGGGCCTCCGGGAGGGAACTTTTGGAGCACACAGCGCTGAGCAAGGCCGAGCTGGTTGGTTCTTTTTTAAAAATATATTTTTATTTCAGAGAGGGAGGGAGAGGGAGAGAAACATCAATAATGAGAGAGAGTCATGGATCAGCTGCCTCCCGCACGCCCCACACTGGGGATGGAGCCCACAACCCGGGCCTGTGCCCTGACCGGGAATGGAACCGTGACCTCCTGGTTCCCTTTGCCCTTTCATTGCCTTGATTCGTGAGTGTCCCCCCTTTAGGATCTTGTCTAAATCCAGAGCTGAGGTCCTGCCCAGAAGGGCCCTGAGTGACTGAACAGTTCAGAGTGCCCCTAAGTGCCATTGGAGACTGCTGGAAGCCGGTCCATCCTTGCTGCTTGACACAGTCGCTGCAGGAAAGAAACATCTGCACAGCATATGTTTCAAGGGACCTGGCATATATAGCATATTGTTCTTAATATGTTTGCTGAGGTAGACAAGGGGCGTGGGTTCGTACGGAAACCTTACTGTGTGAAGTACAGAAATGCTGAGGTGCAAACCCAGCTGGGAGGGCCTCCGGGAGGGAACTTTTGGAGCACACAGCGCTGAGCAAGGCCGAGCTGGTTGGTTCTTTTTTAAAAATATATTTTTATTTCAGAGAGGGAGGGAGAGAGAGAGAAACATCAATAATGAGAGAGTCATGGATCAGCTGCCTCCCGCACGCCCCACACTGGGGATGGAGCCCACAACCCGGGCCTGTGCCCTGACCGGGAATGGAACCGTGGCCTCCTGGTTCCCTTTGCCCTTTCGTTGCCTTGATTCGTGAGTGTCCCCCCTTTAGGATCTTGTCTAAATCCAGAGCTGAGGTCCTGCCCAGAAGGGCCCTGGAGACCAAAGTCACAATTTGGGAACCTGCAGATCAAGGTGTGTCGTCCCGTCCCCCCCGTCCCCCCCCAGATCTCGAGTGAATAATTACCCAGAATTTTACTCGAATTGTGCTTTTTGGCTCGAGAACTATCCACATCAGAAATTGAGGGTGAGCTTTGTAAATCGCTCACAGCGTGGTTTTAAAAAATGTACCCCCACGTGGCTGCCGTTTGGTGACTAGTCCTGTGACTGTACAACACTGGGGAAAGTTCTCAGAGTTCCCCCCCCAGATCTCGAGTGAATAATTACCCAGAATTTTACTCGAATTGTGCTTTTTGGCTCGAGAACTATCCACATCAGAAATTGAGGGTGAGCTTTGTAAATCGCTCACAGCGTGGTTTTAAAAAATGTACCCCCACGTGGCTGCCGTTTGGTGACTAGTCCTGTGACTGTACAACACTGGGGAAAGTTCTCAGAGTGGTTTGTTCAAATAGTAGATGGTGCTCCTTAACGTTTTTTTTACACACACAAAACAAATATATTTTTCTGGACGCAAAATCCAGTCGGCGTTCTGGTATACCAGCAGGACCCAGAAAATGGAACTCAGGCTGAACCTAGTGTTTTACACTTGGAGGTGATTTTTGTCTCAAAGCCCAAGTTTAACCTCATGGCCTCCTTCCAAAATCTTTTATCTCATCTTTTTCAAAGGTACCATTTCTTCCCATTGGGTTTTTTTTCCTTCAGGCACTTAGGGGAAAGCGGAAACACAATTTACCCTCTGCCCTCCCTACCCCCTTGCTTCTCTGTGACAACTAAACTGCCTTTCTGATAAAGAAAATCCCTATCCAGACACATTGTGTCCTGTCTTCCTTCTTTGTGGACAGCCCTGCCTTTCTGATAAAGGAAAAAACCCTTAGGGGGGGAAACAGTGTATCCTATCCAGTCATTCATCGCTCTCCCACATACCTTTTCATTTATCTCTTTGATCTTAAGAAGTTACAGTTACTTGGAGCCTGAGGGGGACCTGCCCCGCCCTGTGAAGGGCCTGGGCTTCTCCGCTGTCCACCCTGTGTTTAGACTGGCTGCAGGAGATGGCACAGGACCGTTTTAGCCTGGAGGAACTCGGGAGGCAGGCCTGAAGTGGGACGGAGGCTGTAGGGTGTAACTTATGATTACGCCTTTGCTGTGCTCTGCAGCCTGAGCCAGGAGTCCACGCTGAGCTCTTAGATTGGAAAAAGTTTATGCGCAGCTCAGTGTAAAAGCCAGCTGGGCCCTGGCTGGTTTGGCTCAGTGGATAGAGCGTCGGGCCTGCGGACTGAAGGGTCCCAGGTTCGATTTCGGACAAGGGCACATGCCCGGGTTGCGGGCTCAATTCCCCATCCCCAGTGTGGGGCGTGCAGGAGGCAGTCAATGATTCTCTCTCATCATTGATGTTTCTCTCTCTCCCTCTCCCTTCCTCTCTGAAATCAATAAAAATAAAAAGTTAGCTGGGATCCTCCAGCACGAGGTGGGACTCCGGTTTGGCATGGGGTGTGGTCAGCTTACATCTCCCCTAAAAGGCAAATTTATTCCAATTCTTTGTTTGCCTTAGCAAATACTCGAGTGTTTCTGGTTTCTTTTTCTTTTCTTTTTTAAATATATTTTTATTGATTTCAGATTGGGGGGGAGAGAGAAACATCAATGATGAGAGTAATCGATTGACTGCCTCCTGCACGCCCCACACTGGGGATGGAGCCCGCAACCTGGGCATGTGCCCCAACCAGGAATCAAACCGGGACCTCCTGGTTCATAGGTCAACGCTCAACCGCTGAGCCACACCGGCCGGGTTGTCTCCTGGAGTTTCATTCTGAGCGAATTAGCAAAACCTCATTTTAGGCAGGAAAGGGAGACGATTGCATTCTGTTCTGAGCAGTAAATTCTGCCTGGTGTGTGGGCGGTCAGTTGTAGAGAAGCAGGGAGATGTTAGGTGGGGGTGCGGGTGGCTGGGGCTAGCGGGGGGCGATGGGGAGAAGCGGGCGGTCCCTGGGCCAGAGTTAAAGATGCGCTGATGGAACATCCATGACTTGTAAGCAAGGAAGAATTAGCGGGACTTCTAGGATTTTGCCTTGAAAGGCAGGGTGGGGGGTTGTGTCACTCTTGGGGGCGGGGAAAGGCCTGAGGGGGAATCGGTCTTTAGGGGAAGGAGGTGAGTCAGCAGAGAGCTGGGTTTGCACAGGAAGAGTTGTTAGAGCTCTCAGACACACGGGTGGGTGTATCCTTGGTTTCATCCACGTAATAAATTTATTTTTAAAAATTGAGAGGAGATCTGCATCTCAGGTGATTGTATTGTTGGAGCTCCGAACCGATCTTGAGTTAAGAGTCCTTGACGGTTCTGAGTGGCTGGAGATGTGCAAATACCTGCGACGGTTGTTTTGACTCCTGCAAACGATTTGTGTTCGAGGTCATTTCACTGCAAAATGGTCCTGTGAGTCCCCCCGTAGCGATGTATCATGTTTTTTAGTGACAGGTCATCAGTACGCCTGGGTTCCTTGCGTCTTTCATTACTAGTTGCAACTCATATTCTTCCCTTTTTTTAAAAAAAAAAATGACATTGTTTGATATACAGAAGTTACATCTTCAGGCCTCGCCAGTTTGGCTCAGTGGATAGAGCATTGGCCTGGGGACTGAAGGGTCCCGGGTTCGATTCCAGTCAAGGGCACCTACCTTGGTTGCAGGTTCCCTGTCCCTGGTCGGGGCACGTGCAGGAGGCAACCCATCGATG